TTTTTTTAAAAAAAAATTGAGCTGGATCTAAAACTCCCATGTTTCCAGCCATTTAAGGCCTGCCATTGAGCTGCTGGGATCAGAAGCCAGAGGTCCCGTCATTCCATAAGACAGAGGATGGAAGAGGTAAAAGCTGTGGAAAATACACACAGACACACATAAATAATAAATTAAATCACCAAAAACACATAAAAGCAGAAGGTATCTCAGCATCCCCTAAATTGGCCTAACTAACAGTACATAACATTTATAACATATGACAGAATTTATTCAATTGTATTGTTCACTGAATTCTGAGTTCAGAGAGAAAATGACAATTGTGAAAGAAAAGCTGTTCACATTACAATATTTAGGGAACATCTCATAGTAGTGGTAATATGATCTGGATTTGGGGAATATTACCATCAATCTCCTGTCATAGACTGATGACTCTTTGTTGGCTTGGAGTTCTGTGGTGTTGCACCCTCTACCAGAAGATGGGATCCATTTAAACAGTCTAAAGGACACTATTCTGTTCCAGTGGGAGCTTGGAATTGTTCCCGGAGTTCTGGAACCTGCTTGGGACAAGAGCGTGGCCATGGCCCTAGATCTAATTGCATCTGTGTAGACTCTCTAGGCACATGGATCATGCAGGGTCCCCTGGTTTCCAGATGATGAAATGGCATAAGAGATGCCTTAAAGTGCTGTTGGAAGAAAATGAAGAGCAAGCCCAATCAAAAGTAAGAGTTTTCCTTGAGAATTATCTTGTGACATTTAAGGCAGCAAAGGTAACTTTTCTCCACTCTTATTATATCTGCAGAGAGATGGCTGGTGGCCCTTTTAAGATAACCCAGTCCCCCAGATTCCCACCAGGAGAATGTTTATAGGCTGCTGTAAGTTTTGTTCTAGGTGTCTGCCTCACAAAGTTACTCAGATTCACTCGGAGTTGGACTCTGATTGCACAGATCCTATGAGGTATAGTCTTGCCTAGTCATTTGGGAAGAGTTTGAATCTGTTGCTCTAATGAAATGAACAAAGTCCTTTAAAATGAGCCATGAATTAAATCATCTGTGTTTTACAGCTATTGGGATTGGCCTGGCCCACCTGTGCTTATGGACCCCATTGGCCTGGTGAGGTCCAGGAGAAGGGCCCCTCTGTCATTGCACCTATCCTCTGGAACATGCCCTCCCCCCACAAAGTAAGATTGGCTCCAAGCCTTCCGAACTTCCATAAGAACCTAAGGATCTGGCTCTGCTAGTTAGCTTGGGGCACCAATGGAGAACATCACAATGGAGGTGGTTGATCAATTAACAACAAATCCCCTCCTCCCCATCTTTAATTGGGTTTGCTTGTGTATTAATTTATTTTTTGTTTTTAATTTATACTATTTTTATCTTTTATGATTGTAAACTGTCCAGAGTTACCCTGACGTAAGATGGGCAGCCAGTAAACATTATAAATAAATAAAATAAATGTCCTTCCTGGTTGGTTGCATTTGCTGGGAGGTGACATGTGGTTAGATTAGGACAATTAATTAAATATAATTAATTAAATATATTTTGAGCAGCTCAAGAACTGATTCTCACCTGTACACACTGAGCACAACCAACACTGCTATTCCATAGTTATAAATCTTCCCAGCTTGGATGCTGCTTGAAAAAAACCAAGCACAGAATTTCAGGAATACATCCCACGTAATCCCTGAGGGGAAAAAACCACATTAAATTTGATTTGCAATTAAATTAATACAATTTATATGACAACCATTCATGGACTTAATCAGTTTTCCCCATCTCATTAGAAATCACAATTTGGTAGAAACTTCTGGAAGATTTATATGGGGAAAGAAAAATCTGTGGAAAAGAACATGCAGGCCTCAGGCAGGGCATTTGGGGGCAAATGATGGACAGATGATGGGCAAGATGTAAAAAGACTTTAAAAAGAAGTACTGTAATATTTTATATCCTGAGACCATGAATAAGAATATTTAAAGCTGAATTTTTAACAATATTGTTAACCAATACACCTTGAAACCATTGTAAAAATAAAGTATTTCTGCAACACATATGAGGGCAAATTGTTTTAGAATCTTTATCAAATTCCTATTTGTAACCCTGATCATTATAATGACCATTCTAACATCGACAGTATCAATACAAAAATGATGAGAATAGAGCAGTAGATTGCACAGAGCTATTGAATAACAGCTGGTATTTTGTATCCTAATCTCCTAAATTCAATTCTAGATTACAGTGCTCTCAATACTGATAAAAAATTGTTTCCTGAGAACCTTTTGAAAACATGCAACATGTGAAGCTAAACAGTGTGTGATCTCTTACAATCATGCTTTTCAAGACTCTCTGTAATCTGATTACCATTTTTAATTTCTGATATATAAAGATTTATAAATCCTACCTGTCAACATGATGGAGAAAAGCATGGCAGGGAAGTAATGATGGAAATAGAGCACTCTGCCCATCAGGAAGAAAGGAAAATAATGGAGAAACCATCCCAGGATAATCCTTCCCCCACCATGCTGCAAAACTCGAGCAAGCTCTGTAATATATGCATATACTTAAGTATGTTTTCACTGCCATTTAATCTCAATGTTTATACAGTACAAGCATTGGATCCTTTGAAACATCATAAAGAGATCTAATTCTAGGAAATGTTTAAATACTAAACACTCATATTTACCAAATTAAGGGTTGATTGGACAGAATTATTGCTGAACTTTGGCTTTGTGGAAAGCTTTCAAAAAAATCAAAACAAACTACACTATTAATAATCAGATCTATTTTCTTTATGCATGATAGTAAACGTTACAGTACCATGCTAGGTAAAGAAAGCCACTGGAACAACCATTATGAATAAGTATTTGAAAGAGCATTTTGAAAGCTGACGTGATTCCAAGCAAAAACCACATGAATTTTCATGATTACAAATAGTTCTCGACTTACGGCCACTTGTATTACCAGGTTCCAAAGGTCCAACAGACAGCTCCCTCCCACAATCACATGATTGCATTTTGTGCACTTGGCAACTGGCCCTCATTTATGGCTGACTGTACTGTCTTGTAGTCATGATTTGGGATGTTTTTTGCCCCCAAAAGCAGCATTTACATCAAGTTTTCGGTAAAACTGCCCTATAGCGATAATTAAGCAGGTTTGCTTAATGACTGTGGCTCACCCCATGAGCCGAGGTGGCGCAGTGGTTAANAAAAGAATGCCCCAGAAAATATAGTGATTCCATGTCCAATGTTAATATTCCTCAGTATTATTCTTCATCTTCATTCAAGTAAAAAAACATTCAGAAATCAACAAGCTGTTTGAGACAAAAAAACTTATTTATTAAAAAAATTAAAAGGTAATCTTTTTATCGATTAACCCTCTTTTTAAAAAACAGTGCCAGTTCAAAGGCAGTTTTCTTATATTAGTACTATGTACACTTAAAGAGCAATGACATGTATAAACTTAAACATACAGGCAGTATTTATATGCAAATTACAACCAAGCACACTAACAACTTCAGTATTAGCAGCATCAGTAAGGAAAATTATAATGCAGGAGACTGAGTTTTACCAAAGGGCAGAGTGTGTGTGAAATAATAGCTAGTATTTTTTTTGTTAAATTGTTTATTTCTTATAGAAGCCAGAGACAGCCCGACTGCAAATCTTAAAACCATTTAGTGGAAGAGCTTCATTTGAATGGGCACAACCTCCTCCCACACCGCATGTTAAGACTATGCTTTCAGTGGTATCTATTTCTTCCTTCTTTCCTTCCTGTGTACCTTTTAAATAGATGAAAAATTCTAGAGAAATCAAAGGCTTATTCACTGTTTTGTAACCTCAGAGTTGACGTTACTTTAATACAGATTGTATAAAGAAAGGCATAAGGGCTCCTATCAATCATGTGACTTTTTCCAGGCATGAATTTCAACAATAACCCAAGGAATAAAAAGCTTTTTAAAGATTTGCTATCAAGAGGGGCTACTACTACCATAGTGACCCCCAATGAGAATGTACAGTATTGCTGGCTTCTCCTTCCAGATCCCATGTGTGGTGTCATCACTGCAAGTCCCATCCTAGCATGGAAAAATAAGGATTATGCAATTCAAGGACTCAAAACAAAAAGTTTTATTTAGTCATGCCTTCAATCATGGTAAAGTGCTCTGTGTTCCATCAAGACCACAAAGGTGAAGACGAGAGACAATTGTAGGAGCCATATGGTTTTAGTAACTAATAGGAAAGTGAATGATACAAACATTGGAAGAGCAGTGAAACTGAACACTATGAAATAATTGAAATATTTCGCAAAATCACAATGGCCTACTTCAAATGAGATTTTGCAGCCAACTCATTCTTTGGTCTGCATACTTCTTTTAGTACAATATTTAGTACAATATTTCTTTTCCTAAAAAGAAAAAGGCTTCAGAACAAGGAATGAATGATGTTAGTTAATTATATGCAGTAAAAGAAAAAATCAATAAAGTAGGATTTCAAAGTACAAGAAAACCAATAACAGATGTGTGGAAAGGCACACTACAGTCGAGACGTAAGCATGTATTAATGCATCACAAGTACAATATACTGAACTAAGGCACATTCACTTAGAATTACTCTTTCCCAAGGTACTTGCAGTAGAAGAGCTAAGGGGGACTATCTTCATACAGGCAAGAGGCCACCCAGTGCTAGCCTGCAATATTGAAGTTAATGACATTATGCTGGGAAAGACAGCAGTTAATGCCAGATCAGATATCTCTCTAGTCTTATTGCATCAAATTCAAAAGGAACTACTGAATACAGGTTCAAAAAAAATGTTCTATGCAATGCTCCCTTTTAGTCACAGCACGTATGTGCTGAATGATCAGAACATCAGGCAAGGCTACACTGAACAATTGTCCCCCGGAGTACTGCAGAATCCAGAGGAAAAGGGTCCATCAGCCTTGTTATAATACTATTTTGCACAATATAATTTTAATTAATAAAAAGGCTGCTCTCCTTTAAAAAGCCAAGTACATTCTAATCATTCTATTCATGTTATACAGCACACATACCATATAACATAAATAGTTCAGAACCATTTTATGAGGACTCTCATCACCAAATAATAGATGGATTCCTGCCATAGGAAATATACCAACTGTTACAATGATTTCCTACAATGCTCCATAAGTCACATAAAATAAACCTGTGACTTTTTATTATTATCTAGAGTAGCCTTTCTCAACTTGCTTTCTCAGTTGACCCATGGATCCCAAATATCATAGGGATTGGCTGTGTTTGTGTGATCCCAGTTGTAATCCCAGCATATTTGGAGGGTGTTGGTTTTCGGAAGGCTGCAAATGATAAGATTTGAAACCAAACACAACTCAAATGCACTGTGACAATTATTAGATTAAGACAGACTGTATTTCCTTTGTTTTTTGGATTGGAACATCTAAACTTTACTCAACATAATCACATCATGGGGATATTAGCAGTCTCTGTGCCAACCAAGATAGCCAATAAATGAAGAGTGACGTGGAAAATAGAATTTGGGAGGCTTCAAAATTTCATACGCATGCTAAAGTGAATTACTGGAATATCTCAGTAATCTGTACATGGATGATCAATGTAACTAGAGCTGAAACCAAATTCATTCTTTAAAAAATCCTGGTGCACAATAACTGAGAGTGAAATTTTTCAGTCAAATTGTTTTTCAGAGTTACTTTCACATGCAATCACAAACATTCTTCCTGTCCAGCTGAAGAGTTTAGTTCTATTATAAAGTTGCCCTGAAACTACAAAATCTTTCTTCAGATGGCTTAGTATAGGAAGACTTCTCAAAATAATTTATGTCTTTAACAAAGAATAACCCAGTATTACCACTTATTTTGCACAACCTACATTCATTCACGTCAGCTTTCTCTCAGGTGATGGAATAAATTGGATCAATGTCAGCATTAGCAAATGCTCTAAGCTATTATGTAATCTCTTCATTTTGCAGCCTTGCTCAAAAGGCATATCAGAGGAATTTAGAGCTTGAGACCAAAAAGTTAACATCACCTCTCTAAAAAATCAGAATAGTGGTGTCATGACGGGAATTTTATAATTTAATAATTCTATGAGTCTGCTAGGTAGTTGTAAGATTTTCTTAACTGCAACTAGTAGCTAGTGCTGAGAGACAGAAGTATTATGCAAAAATAGAAATAACATGTTGCATTTTGTCTTAGAAGAAAAGAATGCACAGAAACCTCTAATGCTTCAAACAACTGAAGCATTTAAGTCCAATTATTTAAGATCAAAGCAAGAAAGAGAGGACTCTTGAGGGTATAGATGTGTACACACAGAGACAATTTCCCTTTAAAAACATCATAAATTATTTGTTCTGAATTATCCCATTTGCAAAAGACCATTTTTTAAAAACACAGTTGATATTCCCCGTTGTCATGTCACACTTGAACAGAGATAGACTGCATACTCTACATCTTTTTGAAACACATGCATCCTCAAAATCACACATTATGACATTGCTGTAGATTGTCTTGATAAGACAGCATGAGTGTTTTAAGTATTGCTTGGACGGTTCAAACTTTAAAGTAGCAGCTGGCTCAAATGACTGGAGCAATGGACCTTTCTGTCAGAAGTTCTCCCACACTGTTGCCTCCTCCTTCAATAGTTCACGGTCTCCACTCAGAAATGTTTAAGAGAAGATTCTTCATAGCCATCATCAAATGGATAGAAATGTTTGACCACATCTATTCTTCTATTTTATTCCTTCCTTTAAAAAAAAAAAGCTGGATCTAAAACTCCCATGTTTCCAGCCATTTAAGGCCTGCCATTGAGCTGCTGGGATCAGAAGCCAGAGGTCCCGTCATCCCATAAGACAGAGGATGGAAGAGGTAAAAGCTGTGGAAAATACACAAACACACAAACATAAATAATAAATTAAATCACCAAAAACACATAAAAGCAGAAGGTATCTCAGTGTCCCCTAAATTGGCCTAACTAACAGTAAATAACATTTATAACATGACAGAGTTCATTCAATTGTATTGTTCACTGAATTCTGAGTTCAGAGAGAAAATGGCAATTGTGAAAGAAAAGCTGTTCACATT